CGCTCATTGTGTCTGCATGTATCTACAAACAGTATCTTCATGATAGAAATGTTATCCCATAGCCTGCTGTGGTCTGTAAACTATCCACACAGACTCTTTTAAACAGTGCTGCGTTATATCCAAACACTGAAGATACAGTGAAGGCTAAATGCTCCCCTGTTCATTTATAAGCAGCGGCGGTTCCAGAGGGGTAGCAGGGATGGACTGGGCTCTACTACCTTCAAAAAAAAAAAAAAATAGAATTCAGTCAAATAAAAGAGGAAAAAAAGAATTTGGGAATAAATAAATCAGTTCTAACTGATTTCATTGAGCCCTACAGCTGTGTATTTTAATATTCAGGCAGTTTTGGAGTTTTGCCCAGAGAGGAAGAGAGCGAGAGAGGGAGAGAGGGAGAGAGGCGGAGACGGATGAAGAGGGACAGACAACTGGTGCCTCCATGTTATTACATTTTAACATTATCTATCCTTTATCAATATAAAGAGTATTTTTTTTAATAAAGGTTTATCTTTGGGCTTTTTATGCATTTATTTAGAGATAGGATAGTGGATAGAGTCAGAATTAAGGGAGAGACAGAGAGAGAGAGAGAGAGAGAGAGAGAGAGAGAGAGAGAGAGAGAGGAATGACATGCAGGAAAGGACCCACAAGTGGGATTTGATCCCAGGCCGCCTGCTTGGAGGACTATAGCCTCTGAGCCGATGTACAAGGGGCACGCGGACTAACCACTAGGCTACAAGTGCCCCAAACTAAATTTTCTTCCCTATATTGTTTGAAAATATATCGATTTATCTTAAAAACTCATATCACCGAGCCCAAGTAAAATGCCCCACTGCTTTACAGTACTACTCCATTCACAAACATTCTTAAGCTGCCAGCATTGAAGGGGGAGAAAGAATAATTCAACATGTGACTGCAGGGATAAAGGACTACTCCATGCGAGTGGATTTCTGTGATTGTGAAATTGTGACCCAGAGAAAAGTGGGAGGAGAAAAAAAAGAGAGAAGAGACGGGCAGTTCTTTCCCAAATGGGTACGTCAGCTTAGCATAATTTCACTCTCTCCATCCAATGTCATCACTGCTGCTTCCACAAACGCCCCCCCTCCTACCCTGCCCCATTATCAAGGCCCATCAAAGACATCCCTTTGTCATTGCCATCATCGCTCTCACATCTTCTCAGCTCTGAACCTGCATGAACGCCCCACAGGGACGACAAAAAATAAGGGAAAAAGAAGAGAGGGCCAAAGGATGATGAGGTCCCAGAAGAAGAAACCAAGTTTCCCAGAGCAGAGTCTGGCCCTGTGACGCCAGGAGCCACAGTTTGTGTAAGCTCACATGTGTGATAGAGAGGGTGTGACAGACTGAATGAAGTCCTTCTCTATTCAAACAACTGCGAGTAGCTGGTGAGATATCTGTTAAGTCTCAGAGTTCACTAAATGACACATTGTGCTTCTCTGCTCATAAGGGTGAAAACAAAGGCGTCTCCCTCAAATCCTCCTCATTCAGAAGAATACATAATAAGAGGGAATGTAATATGGCTGATTACAGCATGAAACAACTAATCAATCCACTAGCATAGCAGTGCCAGGCAAACATCCCATCATCGATTGCTCAGAGAGCTGTATTGTACAATGTTGGGGGTCTAAACCCTCAGGCAGGGCACCGGTCAATCATCAGAAAGCCTGGAGTCAACAACCCCTCTTGTTTGGGGCATTTGTACTTAACACACAAGCTCACAGCAACAGTAGGGTTATGTCAATATTGCCTCATTCAGAGTGGCTTCATATTCATCTGGTTGCCTAATAGCGATGGTTGGTAGGGAAAACCAATAACAGGTCCAGAGAGAGTTCAACCCATGTGTATATTAGGAGAACAAACATTGCTAATTTGTACAGGAAAGAAATCATGTCTGATTGAAGTTTGTGACACGATTCTTATCTTCTTAAAAAAAAGGTCAGAAGGCTACCTGGAGGCCATAAATCCTCATTTTAAAAAAAAAACCTATCAAGGCTTTCTACTGCACTACATGCTCAGCATCATCGATTATATGGCATAAAATAAAAAGTATACATTGATGATTCAACAAACTGTTCTTCTGGCTGTTCTTCATAGCCACACCTCCCTCTATAAAGGGAGGCACATGTAACCAAACAGGAGCACTTTCTCTCTTCTTTTTAAGTGTCCCATTATGCCATGACATAATGTTTGTGACAGAGAACCAGTGTTCACAATACTGTGGACCCTGACACTGAAGAAGCCAAATAGAATTCAGCTATGGTTCATGTTATTGGTAAACACTTGTGCTTTTCCTGACCGGTCATGTCTTTTTGTAAAAAAAAAAAAAAAAGGCAGATTATTTCAAAAAACATGGAAAGACAATGTTTGATTTTTTTTTTTTTTTTTAAATTGTTTTAGCCTAAATAAAGCCTAAAGAATAGCAGATCATCCAATTACAGATAGAAGTATCAGAGTCATAGAATTTTAATGAAAATGTCCAAAAATCTGTTTATTTACATTTCTGCAGTATAAGTTTTGATTGATGATTTATTTTTTACTTTATTTTTCACTATGTTTCTTTCATTTTTTTAAATTATTTACATATTTTGGAATAACTGAATCATCACTTCCAATTTTTTTACAAAATTGAACAGATCATTTTGATAAAATCCCTGAGGATCTGACAGCCATATTCAAAAAATAATTAAAAGACGCAAGTAATGGAGAAATATTTCCGATATGGAGCTGCAGCAGTAATAAATGACTTACTTTGTGTTTTTCCACAGCCTCCAGAAGTAATCATTCTGTTTTCCATCAAATTCATTGCACAATCTTGAGCCTTGCACCCCACCCTGTGTCATTTTACTACAATAGCCTTCTTGTTTTGAGGAATTGCGTCCTGAATGGCACCATGCAACATTATCATGATAGTCCTCCACAATGCAACTAAACAGGCTCATTCAACCCAGATGACCTTCTGCAAACCCCAACAGAGTTGCCAAAGCTGCCCTACATCACAAAATGTAGGCTCATTAAAAATCTCATTTGAAAAACTGCAGAGATCTACAGCATCATCTACTTTTAGTACGGCACCTTTGACACGCTAAAGTGACGGAGGAGTCTGTACAATGTTTGTCCTATATTGATGGGGAGAAAAAGTAGGGCATTTTGACTGGTGAATACAGTAACAACATTGTGCTCAATTGTATGGTGATAATGGCGGGCCTGACAAGCACGAGTCGGACAACTGTGTCTTGTTTTCTCATGAATGTAAATGTCCACTTTGATTTTTAGATTTTGTTGTTATTTAACGGGGACAAGACTCCAAAAAGATGCATCAGGAATAAACATTTACAAAATATAGATTACTTTGAATCAAGTGTGTCACTCGAAGGATGAATTGAATGATTGTTTCTATAACTATCAGAGGATGGATACCGCTTTTCCAACTCTCTTTTAACACATGTCATACAATGTTTATTGGCTGCTGCTGTTGTTCCTCTTGTCAGCTGTAGCAGGGAGGAAATCCATTCCTAATGTGAGAATGAGAATAGTGATTGGAAACAAACTCCACAGTCCTCGTGCTGTTCAGAAATGTATCATGAAAATCAGGCAAAGTCAATATGAGGCTTCAGCAGTCCAATTAAGAGTGTCTCTTCCAAAGTTATGAACTTTTAGTGTGAGTCTTGTATTAAAAGACTCTCCAGTTGAAATAGTCTCACTTGATTGGTTTGACTGCTGATAGATAAACTGTGTCTGTCCCAACCGTGACAGAAATTCTCCTTTGACAAGGCTCAAACGTTACATTGTATTAAAAAAACACAACACAAAGTACAGACACAGAGGACTGTTAAAAACAACACCTGCTAAAAAAGTGTCTTTTGTATTTTGTTCAGGGTGGCTATTGTGGAGGGAAGCCTCATATTGACTTTTGACTATTGATATGTTGATCAAAAGCATTACCTGGTCAAACATGAGTCAAGATTTTGGGGATTTGATATAACAGGGGCAAAAGGATTCAATACACTACGCTATCAGAGGCATTAATAGGAACCTCTGTCTTATCAGTATTTATCTGAAATAAGTTGTGACTCATCCGATCCTTAATGGCAGTCAGTGGTGCAGATTTTCAATTCATCAGTCTCATAAGTCATAAAAGCCATGTAAAATGTCATTAGCATAATGGTGGTAAGAATTCCCTGAAATGTACAGATCACATGGTCAAGAGGAAACATACAGTCAAACAGAAAAGGGTCTAAAACAGATTCTACACCACAGGACAGAGTAGCAGATTGAGACATTTAAGGACCAAGTAACACAGAACTAAACAGCTATCTGAAAGGAAGCTGGAGAACCAGTCAAGGACGCTCCCAGAGTCACCCAACCACTGTCTGAGTCTGTCAATCAGACTAGCGTGATCAACCGTGTGGAATTTACAGCGAAGATCCAAGAGTACCACAACTGAGCATTCACCCACATCAGAGGACCTCATGATGTCATTGGAGTCTCAGTTTGTGTGTTATGTTTCTGATGCAAAACCAGATTGGAATCTGTTTGTAACACTGTGTGCGGTTAAGACAGCTGTTTAGCAATGACTTTCTCTACAATTATGGAAATAAAAGGCAGTAAACGTAGGCTGACAACATGATTTCAAGGACCTGGACCTATTTATAATTGCAAATTGGCAAGGACCTATTGTTGTAAACACATTTTAAGTAAGTATTATTTGCATCATTAAATTATGATTTAAATCCTTGATTAATAGATTATTGTATAGATTTTTCAGAGATGAAGATATAATCTTTCATTCATGTTTTGTACCTAACCGATATAAGAAAAGTTCAAAATATAAATGGATTTCCACACATACTACTTCTAATCACACATCACTTAGATGTTGATAACACAAAACAACATTAAATGTTGAGTAATGGAATGATATCCATGTTACCTTCGCCTACAAAAAACTCTTCCTATTGTAGTGATGTGTAGTTCCTGCTGTCACTCACCTGTTGGAAAACAAACTGGTACTCCTTGTTGAGCTGCCAGGCGGTCACTACGTGTATGATAGACAGCACGGCTCCACAGACACGGCTGCTCTCATCCTGACCGGCAGCAGCGTGTAGATAATATAGATGAAGAAGACAGTCCACCAGATGCCCTCAGAGGCACTAGGTGGGTACACCATCAGCGCCCCCAGCACCTGCACCACGATCAGCACCACGATTACCAGGTAGCTAACAATCCACATGTAGTCTTGGTGGAAGCCGTTTCGGTTGCACACCACCATCATGGCCAGAAAAAGAGCCATGGCGACAGAGAGTACTGAGATGTAGGCCTTACTGGGGGTAAGGTGTGGGGTTCTGTCGAAGCAGTGAATAGTCAGGATGACTCCACACACCACCACCAGCACCCCCATCAGCATGGTCAGGGAGCTCTGGTTGAGCCTGAAGAAGTAGCGCTGGTACAGACGCTCCAGCTTGGCAGATTGAAATTTCTTGGATTGAAAAATCCAAATAAACCGCTTCCAGCAGTCCACCGCAGACATCCCTTTGCAGCCCCCTTCTGCTAATTCCAATGATTCCTCATCTTTCCTCCCTTTCAGCTCACCATCCTCAAAGCCCAGGTCCACAGCTTTAAGACCCAGATCCCCTCCGCCACCAATCCTCTTCCTATAGTGATCCTCCTGCCAGCCACAGCGCGCACCGAAGTTACCCCCGCTGGTGCCTGCTCTGCAGTTGTAATGTTTAGAGGCTGCATTAGGGGGCTCTAGTTCCTCAGGGTCCCTCAGGCAGCTCATGTAGTGTGGGTTGCACAGTGACGAGCTGTCCTTTCTCTTTTTGCCATTGCGCTCTCCCCATGCAGTCTTTCGCTCATCCGTTTTGCTCCTTAAGAGGTCTCTGGCCCACGACATCCTGAATGAAACAAAGATGGAAAAAAACTTCAAATTTAAGAATTCTGGCTTTTAATCATCAAAGTCCTTGCATTAAATATGTAATTTGAGGAAAAAGTTAGGAAGATCTGGGGACCTTCTCACCTGTGCAGGCTTTTTTGTGTGTAGCAACACTGCGCTCTTTGGCCAGGCCACTAGTGTATCCAGAGAAGCATACACCATGAGCTCGGATTGGCCGGAGGCATCAGAGGTGTGCCTGTTTTTGAGCCGTCGTCTGTAGAAATAGTCTGCATGTCAGCCCTATTTATCACCTAGACCTTCCATACGCCACCTGTTTTCCTGTATACAAAAAAACAATTAAAAGAACAATGCTGAGCTCACACCACACGAGGAAATAAAAGCATTAAAATCATAGTCATTGTGGAAAAACAGAAAATTAAACACATTGTTTGCATCGCTGGTTGCTGTTTTTATTTTTGTGTTTGTTTATTGTATTTTTCTCTGGCAAAAGATTAGGCAATTCAAAATAAATACATAGAAAACAGCTAGTTCAATCCACTTTCCCACAGCAGATCAAAACAACATGTCCATGGAAGTTACTTGCTGTTGCGTTTGCAAAACACTGGATTGTGAGAGTGTAATGTCCTTTTATTATTACGTCATCCAGCTTTAAGTAACAACTGGTTAATTATGTCATCGAGCCATAAAGTTAAACAGGGTCGCGTTTCAACAAACACTCAGATGAAAACTTTTCTGGGCTGGACAGCGCTCTATCACTGCAATCTGCCTTGTACATCTTGAGTGTGCTCTATTTGACAACAAAGGCCTTCAGAGTGGGCACCATCAGAGATCAAGAGCTCTCCAGTCCAGATTAAATTGTCCATGCTTCCCCCATTAGCTTTGATGACTCACTATGGCCGGCTTCTGGCAGCACATGTCAAGGACACTGCTAACCTCTAAACTTAATAAGCATATCTGCAGGGCTGCCTGAGCTGAGGCAAACAGTAAGATGAGAATACATGAGCTGCACACATGGCCATGTTACAAATCAGCAGCTGTTTTTTTTATGCAATTTTCACAGCAATCACCATCACCTCATTAAAACATGTTATTGAAGGAGAGGTTATGTTTGGTTCATGGATTGTGTCTAAAATAGCCTACATGTTCTAATCACACACACACAACAGCTTTTGAAGGATTTACTGCTGTGTACATGTTTTACCTTATGTAAGAAGGAATTCTAGTGATTATCTAGTAACAAAGGAGCATTTATTTATCACGACCCACTCTAGAGTAAAATGGCACTTCACCTGCTCAGAGTTTTCAGGCTGCTTGACCTCAGTCCTCGGCTCACCTTTGATACATTTACGACAGGTCAAACAGCACATGCAGCTCTAATGTACAAACTGTACATCCAAAACATATCCAAATAGAACATTATTGTAACCTATTATACCACAAAAGGGGCCGAGTCGACTTCGCTACACTGCACGCATTGCAAACTAAGATGGTGATGCTTTCACTTACAGTTGAATATTTTAGTATTCTGCGTAAAACTATCATGCCCTCCACCCTTTCACCCCAAAAATACACAAATGAAACGACATTGACAAGTCGCCTACCACCCCCACCCATGTGTTCCTCCCTGTGTCGCTACTGCTAACACGGACCTGATGTCAAAGAACATGTTTGGCTCTTACACGTGTAGGCCCGGGCAGGTTCGGATGCGGGCAGTCGGCCGAAGCATATTACGTAACAGGCCGCTCAGAGTAGCCAACATGGGAAGTTGCCAGCTCTCTCCTGTGCTTAAACGCAGTCTCTTAATAATAATTAAAAAAAAAACTAAAAAAAAAAAAAAAAAACCCACTATCTATGGACACCATAACACTGCGCGACTGGATAGCCTGAGCTCGGCCTGAAGAATGTGGGTTGCAAAAAAAAAAAAAACAACAACACTGCCGCTTGGCACACATCACCCGCCTCCAACTTATCAGGAGTAAAACATTCCGTCGGACAACTTCAGCCCTTCTGCAGCGGATCTTCTTAATTCACAGAGGATGTGCAGACGGGCTCACGGCTGAAAGTCTTAAACCGGCCACACACTGGGGCCTGTCTTCTTTCGAGATAAACCTGTACGTCATTATGTTTGGACGCCAAACAGGTCACTGGACCAGAGGATATTGCCGAAAAAAAATGCGCCTTGCAACTGTGCAAACAAATTCAGCCTTCAGTCATCCTCGTGGTTCTTTAAAATAAAAAGTGTAGCCTAATTGAATTGTCCTAGCCTGCGAAAGGACATGTCTGCATAGCGGGGGGAAGAGTCCTGCAGAACAGTTCAGACTTCTCCACGCCGCCGCAATCATCACAGTAAAAACACTCCGAGTTCAAGTCAGCTGTTTGCATTCTGCTGTAACCTCTTTCACTTGAGCTAGCCTGCAACAATTCAACATTACACGTAACAGTTTCCCCAACACTGGCGTGTGGAAGGCTAAATAGAGGGAAGGCACTGTACTTACATTTGGACATCCTCGTTATTACAGTGACTGTAAGACCGCAGCGGAGGTCCAGCTTGGCCCCCGTATTCGGTCTTCACGCAGCCGCCGTCACAAATGCTTCTCATGCGGGTCACTCCGACTGAGCGGGAGGGAGGTGAGGCGCTTCGGTCCCAATGGAAGCGAGGAGAAAATGCGGATTTAGCCGCACAACCTTGGCTCTTCTCAGCCAGAGATGTAGTACAATTCCACCAACTCGACCTACCCGACTCCCCGTGTCCCTCTCTGTCTCTGTCTCACACTCACGCACACACAAACACTCTTCACACGAGCTGCAGTCCCATTCGCAAACACGCGAGTCCCCCTAGAGGTGGTGCGAGCGTCTCTCTCTCTCTCTCTCTCTCTCTCTCTCTCTCTGCCTAAGTGTGAGTCATTTACTGCAATGTTTTCCATTTTGTTTCGTTTTCTACTCTTTTCTCCATCTAGAGCACCAGTCAGTCCTGTCGCAAAACATGTATGACTACACACACATGGAAACTCGTTCATTTGTGGTTCGAGATGAAGCAAACAACGAGAAACACTGAAAGAAGTATGACACATCCCATTGATTAAGACAGTGTTGCAGCACCACCTAGTGGAGAACATGTAGAGACACTGCAATGTCTCTAAGCGGTCGTAAAGACACTTATCTACATTGTTTCAATCGAGTGCTTACATTCATTAGATGTGACCGTTCTGAATTAAGAGCAATGAAGAAAAAATTGACAGGCTCTAATTGCTGTTGGCTATTTCATGACAGCCATTAGCTTTTCTTAAGGGATGTAGGTAAGTTGCTCGTCACACGATAAAGTTTGAACTGTAAACCAGTAAGGCAACACTGGTGTTGACACAGACGGATCTGTTTACTTATCACCCTTACACGCCCTAGCAGATCCCATAGGGAAAATTAAACATTTGCTTACAGTAAGTTGTTATTTCATTTCATGCATTACAGCCATTAATTAAAAAAAAAAAAGCAGAACTAGTCGCCTATAGCTTAATATGATAAAGTCAATGGTTGGCTTGCAGGTAGACCTCCACTACAACAGTAGAGGCAAGAAGCGGATGAATAGGCGAAATCACTTTTTCGAATTAAAATACACCACAATAAAGTAATTTTAAAGAGCATTGGATCAAAAATACTGTCAAGTTTAAAGTCAAAGAAATTTGTAGCAGATTTAAAAAAAAAAAAATAAATAAAAAGTTTAAATGCACTATCTGCAAAGAGGAGCGTGAGCAGTTTAAAATGCAGTTATTGCTCTTGTAGCAGTAATTGTATTACACACAATTATAGCCGGTTAAGTGTGTCTGGTAAGTTCAACTAAAACACTTACAAACTGTTATTAGTAGGGTTGATGTGAGATGTGGAACTTGTATTAATAAGAAATATATATATATATATATAAATGTCTTCGATATGAATTGAAATAAGCCTACTGTAAATCTGTAGCCTATTGAGTCTTTTTGTTAGTTCATCCAGCAGTGGGCGCCATTGTACAACAACAATTACTGGACGTTAAGAGCCTATTACCAAGAGTTTACATCAGCAGGTTCATAATCTATCACAATTTACCTTGCGTTGAGGGACCGTCCACAACCACTATGCTTATATGCAAAAAATAGAAAATGGTTGATTATCAACAAAAGTGCCCTGATAGGCTTTCTTAAAATGTTTATCACACATTCAGGACGTTCATGCTCTGTTGAAGAACCTTTAACTTCAGAAGTTTTTACTTTATATTTCACCAGATCTTTGATATTCACTTTTCAAAATAATGTATGAACAGAGTGTAACACTAGTTTAAGACAACCAGTTTAGCAAGTGTATTCATAGGAAATTAATGTGTTTTATACAACCAGCCGTTCATTAAGGCTGTATAGGCTACATTTGGTAACATGCTCCCTCAGTGTGAATAGCCTTTGAATGAGGTGTAAACACATCCAGAACGTATTATAGGAATGTACTGAGATCCAATCACTCCAGTCACATTTAGAGGTAATCTGTGCTATACATTTATCCACATTAGTCTAGCAGTATGTATGCAAGTGGCATGGGCGACATTAAAGGACCCTATGTTTGTACCAAGGACAACAAATGTTCACTTCTTGTCATTCTTGTCCAATAGAATGTTTTTTGCCTTTTCTTGTGAAAATATGTTGGATTTTTTTCTCTTGTGTCATCCCGAGCTTTATGCATATTATAGTGGACTGTGCTCAAAAAGTGGGGAATTTGGGAATGTTAATGCCAGGTGTGAGCTCTGCCTTTGAACTCACACAAGTGGGAATCTTTCAGGGCACATGAACACTGAGAGTGGACTTTTGAGTCAAATAGGAGACATATTTGGTTAGAAGTAAAACATTTGAAATAACAACATTTGTATATCTGATGCAAAATATATGTTTACGTTGCCAAAGTTAAAGTCACAATAAACCCCAAATTAATTAAAATTAAAGAATAACAAAGATTACATATTACAGTAACAGAGCTGTGCAGCTTTACAGTTTCATATGAAGTGACATTATTGTGTTGACATTGTGTTTATCTTTAAAAAATACAAGTTAAAAATGTAACTTACTTTCCACCTCCTGTTGGGTGCAGTGGGAGCAGACTCTGTCTTCTTTGGAGAGCCAGGTCTGTCTGTGGCGCCCTCTCTCGATGGCGAGGCCGAGCTCACTGAGTCTGTACATGGTCAAACATTGCTCAGTTTTGGATCAGTCACAGTGTTTAGGTTTTCTGCCACTGTGTAATCTCTATGTAGGGCCAGATGACATTCAGACTTGCTCTGTTTTTTGGTCGATTCTTTCCTGAACCAGCTGTCTGAGCAGACAGCTCTCTGTAATCTCTCTGGAGGTCAGGGCTTTCTTATGAAGCGTGTCAGGGTCACTTTCTTATAAGTGGTCATAAAATGTAGAAGCTCTCTTGAATTTTGATGAGTAAAGGATAACGTCCTAATTCTGCCCTGCATGCATTATTTGGAGATTTTTTTTCCATTGCACACAGAGGATGGATTTACAGAATTCTTCACGCAGAGTCTCAATTTGACGTTTGTCCCATTTAGGAAAAAAGCCTATTGGTTTGCAAGAGGACCCCGGACCTCACAACCATACAGACAAATGGGTTCTATAACGGAGTCCAGCATTTTAAGACAGATTTGAATTGGGATTCTGATTTGATGTTCCTTCTGATGTCATAAAAAGCCCTTCTGGCCTCATCTCTCAGGTCGTTCAGGTGCTTTGTTGAAGTGACCTATGGTGCTGATGTTAAGGTCCAGGTAAGTGTAGTTTTGTGTGTTCAATTTCGACTGTGTATCTAAAGAAACTGAATTTGTGGTGTTGGAGGCTGTTCATTTTTTGGAATATCATAATTTTAGTTTTAGTTAGTTATCTCTCTCTCTCTCCTGTCTTTTTTTACATAAGCAGTATAGGCCTAGTACCTTTCTGTAGCGGTCGATGGGCTCTGCTCTCTGTGTAAATGGATGGAGTTTATAGGATGAGAGGGAAGGGCGCCCAAGTGCTGAATCAGTGAAAACCGAGAAGACTTGCATCGAATCTCTGCCTGTCCTGCGTGGACTGATCCATCCAGCCCATATATCTCTGAAAGAGATAGGTCCTTTTGTTTAAAACTGCATCTTTACAGAAAAACAAAAACATCCATAAGTGCAATAAACACCTTACAGGCTTATAGGCTGTAATCACGCACTCTTAGATATTTAATTAAATTATTTTTTCTCCACGTATAATGGCATTAGAGCATGAGAAATAATAATGGATCATCCCATTTTATTCATTTATTGCTAGGCAACAAATCCAGCCGAACATTGAGCTGGATGGGACACATTTGTTTCAGATAGCCTATTTAGAAAAATGTGGGTCGACTACACGCTCTGACAGGAAACACTTGATTTTTAATTGACAGGCAATACGTTACAACTGTTTTTTTTTTTTTTAGACAATAAAAGACGTAAGGAAATGTGTTTGGGCTCAAATTCAAAAGTGGCTTAAATGTGATAATAGAAAAGTGACAGGATGGACTATAAATCCTGTAGCCTACTGTGTGAAAAGTGCAGGTTTTGCATAATTCATAAGCAAAACTGTAATCTACCCATTAGTGTGTCCGTGCGTGGCTTTGTGTACAGTCATCGATCATGCCGTGGACCCACAAACTGAAGGTTTGTACGGCGCAGATGCCGCCGGTGCTTCACGTCCACTTGAAGCGTTGGGTCTGAGCCCTGCCGCGGTCCCTCGTGTTGTGGAAATGTTTGCACCAAGCGCGGTGCTCTGCCTTTAGCTCATGCTTTCATTGTTAAAACTCAGGCTTTTAGTAGCCTAGTTATTTTTTTATTATTTTTTTTACCGAAGTTGGGCTAATGTGACCGAGGTCTCTTTTAACTGCGGATGTCCCTGACCAATTCCAGCGTCTTTCTGCTGAACGAGGTGGGTTGCTTTCAGTCTTTTTCTCTTCTTTGTGGACCTCTTGTTGCGGTCGAGGAAATCACGACTTTTGTTGTTGTTGTTGTTGTTTTTTTAAAGCGTCGAGCAGCGATTCATCAGTCTATAGTATACCTCCAGACATGAACAAGCTGTAAATGTAAAAGCAGCTCCTCGGTGGGATTGTACAGATGATTTAATTAGGCAGGCTGACCTCATCGGGAATCTCTCACTTCGGAGTAAAAGAGTCTCAGCATGCATCGACTCTGACAGTCTGCCAGCGGATATTAAGAGCAGATTGTTGACTAAGTCCATGATAAAAAAAAAATTGGATCGAAATTAAAATAACAAGTCAGGAGGAGCAACAGATGAAAACAGTCAACTAGTCCGGTGACACCGTTGGTGTTTTTTTTTTCTACTTTTATAATAAAAAAAACTGCTTCAATATAACAATAATTTAATTGATTCAGAGTATTTGTATTAACAAGAAACACAACTCTCTCCTTCATTTGCTTGCACGCTGATTAGCTGTTATCGCTTTGCTCAGAGTCGTGCTTGCTGTTTTAATATTGTGAGAACAACAGTTTTCTTATTGTAAGCTATATCCTTAACAGACTAACTAACTGAAATGCAAGCAACTCAACTTTGTGAGTAAAAGCACAGGAAAAGGGGAAAAACCAAAGCTGAACGTTCAGGGAGAAAGTTTCCTCTGACAATGTTGATGTAAAAGCTGTAAATGATATTGCTATAGGCCTATTCATGTTTATCATGATATTAAATCTAAGATGCACATGTATTCTCACTGTTAATGATTCTCTAATGTAATATAATCCACTATAATCTTGTGCATAGACAACAGAGGTTTTAATTATATTGATTGGAAGTGTGATGCAATAGCAATGCAACAATTCAGAGTCTTAAACCTTTCATGTTTGATTCTTGTGGTTGGTTTGTGTCTTTTTTCAGGTTGCTGTTTGGGCTTACTTTTGGCAATCGATGCTGACATTGTCTTTACATCAAACATACAATGAAATCACTTTCCTGGAGGTTTCTTTTATAAAAGATAGATTGATATTGTTCCCATTATTAATTCTAAAGGTTAATAAACTGTTGCCAATCAGTGAGATAATAAACAATTTGGGTGTCTATTAGCCTACTTTGAGTTTATTTCCCCATCAAAAGGGCCTGGATGTGTTAAAGGTGCTTTAAAAGCCAAACATGAGCATGCGTCCAGCCTTTTCTGGCCGGTATAAAGTTCCTCTGGAGGAGCAGGATGATTGCATCATTTGCTTCAGTGTGTGTCTGGCAGGCAAACTACAGGGGGTCCAGTTGGTCTCTCGGCTGTGGATTCATGCTGTGTGCTGAAGTGAAGGTTCTGCCCTTCAAATTAAACTTCTCCTCTAGGAAAGGCAGCTTCAAATAACATGTCATGACATTTGTGCAATAAAACTTTGTGGTATAACATTAAATAAGTATAGACAGGAGCTTTGGAATGTGTTTTTCCTATTCCTTTTGCCCTGTCCTTTAAAAAAAACATCTTTCTATATTTGAAATGAGCAGGCGAGGTTTTTGAAAAGATAAAGCAAGCTATAGAGATCTTGTTGTACTAATTTCTCTGATATTGATCCTATTTAATTAAATGTTTGCTTGTAGCATGTGTCAGAGAACAAGATGTGGTTTATATAAGTCCCTTGGAGTCATTTTGTGTTCTTCATTTCAATTAATTGCACTTTCTTTAATTGCAATTGTTATTTTTGAGTAAAAACTTTAAGACACTGGAAATAAAAATGCATTTAAAGCTGATGTGCATGTCCATGACAAAATATTACTTAAAACCTCAATATACCATAATCAGATCATTCTTCTTTAATGCTTCAAACACGGCCTTCTGTGTCATATTATCAAGAAGTAAGACTTATTTTGATTTTCACTGCACATTCATGTTTTGCATCTTAGATCACTATATTTCTTATTGGTAATACTTAAGCTTTTAGCTTTAAAAAAAATCTATGTTTTGATCAAAGTACAGATTGGTGTTCTAACTAAGAACCCCACCAGACTTTGTAAGATTCTCTGCTTAAATAGGTCATGCAGTGCACTTGTCTGTGTGTAAAGCTGCTTGGTGACACTATCACTCACTTCAGTGTGTCCCTTCAGTCTGTTTACATCCCCCATCCTCTTGAAGTTCAAACTTCCACTCTGTGCTGGAACATAAGGTGTACCTGTATGTCTGAACCCATCAGGTAGCCGTATGAACCTCGCGGAAGGATTTGGCAGCAGCCAGGTGTCATCTTCCTCCACTCAAAAATCAAAACGCAGCATCCCGCTGCCTTAAAATAGCCCCTCATCCATAATGCACCAACAGCAGCAGCAGCAGCAGCAGCAGCAGCAGCAGCAGCTCGGCTTCATACGGGACACACTAACAGACATCTGCACTCAATGCTTGGGTGCAGCCCTGTCTTGCATGTTTCTTCCCGTCTCACGCTCAGTGGAGAGCCCCATGGAGTTTAACTTTCAAAACATTCATCCATTCATGTTTTATTCACTCCTACTGCTCATTCTGAATTTGAATGGATGGTTCCTCCATCTTTCTCTCCTTCCTTTTCTCCCTCTGCCTCACTGTTTCCTATAACCTATCCTATGAATTATGAATCTCAGCTTTGCGGGAGATTTTCACATCAGCCATTGTCGTGGTTTTCCTGTGAAACACTAGTCTGTCTTTCGATGCTTAGTTGATCTCACACTGTGTCTTTTTTGGAGGCGTTCTGCTCCCAAATTAACACTCAAAGCAGGTACGTTCTTCTACTCTAGAGAGGTTTGGTTGGACTGTGTGGTTTTGAAAGCTGACATCCGTAGATATCCATGACACTCTGAGCAGGTGTCAGAGCACAGCCAGCCATGACATCCTCCAAATACACAGTGAACAATGGGATACACTGGGGACGCCTCCACATGTCGAACAGAGACAAGTTGCACGGCTCCCATAGCTCCCATCACCACAAGACTTTTCCCTGTCTCTAAACTTTTGGTGTCTGACATGTTGAAGTCCAGAGAGGCTTGAATAACAACATGATTGGGCTGAAGAAATGGCAGGTTTTCCACTTTTAAGATTTTGTATTTTTGAGCCATACAACACAGCCGTGTTAATCTTTGTCCTGCTTGTTTGTATTTTTTAGACTTTTTCCAAAGGTCTAGGCTTGATATTTAGTCCCAGTACAGGAAGATATTAACACTACATCATGCATATGTCTTAGGCAGTAGTTCTCCAAATATTGTAGCATCAGTTTGAAGAGGATATTGACCCCAAGCACAACATGTTATGCATAAAGTCATAGTAACCTTTCACAAAACTTTCCATAAAAGTAGAGGCTGCATATCTATCCTTATGATTTTGGTATCTGGATGTTTAACAATCAAAATGGGATTTATTTTCATGTGTCAACCTACTTTTGTAGATTTCATGTGTGCAATAATCCATTAAAATGACAAAAATAAGAATATTTAAAACTACATTTAAACTTGTGGATTTTCTGCCTGAACCAACCTGAAGGTGTGTGCTGGATGTACATTGTAATAGCAGAAAGAATACATTTGAGAGCCTAAATGTTCAATTTTTTTTATAAAGCACATTTAAAACAACCTCAGTTGCCAAAATGCTGAATAGGCTCGAAAAACACATATGAGTAAAAAGAACAAAAAAACACAATAAAAAAAATTGCAATGAATATAATTGCGTAATAACGTTTGGATGTCAAGCTTAATTTACAGTATATAAAAGGCCAACACAAAGAGGTCGGGCTTGAGGGTAGATTTAAAACTTGCAAGGTTCTGGGTTGTTCTTATGTTCACATGTAAACTGTGCACAGGTTGGGGGCTGCCACCACAAAGGCTCTGTCACCTCAGGCTCTCAGCCTGGTTCAAGGAACATCTAGAAGCATCTGGTGTGTTGGCCACACGGCTCTGACTAGAGTATGTTGGTGCAACAAATCAGACAAGTGTGATGGTGCTGCCCATGTCGAGTTTTAAAAGAAGTAATTCAGTCTTACACTGGATCCTGAAGCTGACAGGAAGCCAGTGAAGATATGACCAGTACAAGCATGATATAATCAAGTCTGCTATTCTCAGTCAGAAGATGTGCAGCTGCATATAGCTCTAAACGACAAATAGATCATTGATCAACATTTAGAGTTACAATAGTCCAAGGCAGAAGTGACAAACGTGGAAATTTCACTCTATTTCAATGGAGGAAGATGGGCTTTTACCTTTTGTTAGGCTTTATGTGAACTGGAAGCAGCTTGTTTTGAGAACTGAACTATTCCGTTGGTCAAGTTTAAAGGAGCTGTCAAAAATGATTTGCGCCTACATTTTTGACACAAGGGCAACCGTCAGAGGCTAACATGGCAAACACATTAATACTGCCCTCCAGGAGTTCAGGATTTCCAAATACATTATTTGGGATTTCTTTTCATTGATAATCAGGAAGGCCATCCATGTTTTACTGTCTTTTGGACAGTCCAACAAAGCTTGCATAGAGTTACTAAGTTTTTAGATGCACATAGATCTGAAAACGATCTGTAAATCATAAAGATGCTGTTTGATGCAAAAACAGTGATGTTTTATCAAGTCGGAGTCATGAATGAACTTTTCATGCTGTTGCAATCCAGTTGCAGCCCTTTGGTCCCACTGGGCCGACGAGGTGGAGATGAAGGGAAAAGAGGGGAGCAGCAGCAGAGAGGGCGGGAAGGCTGACATGCAGAGCAGAGAGAGCCTCTGTGACGTAGCACAGGGTTGTGTACTGAGAGTGGTGGAGAGTCAGAGAGGAGGATGAGGAGGAGGAGGAGGAGGGGGAGGGGGAGAAAAGAGAGAGGGATCGACTGCTTACAAGCACGCTACAGTATACTTCAGTCTTACCCAGGAGAGAGAGCACACCATGACTGAGTAGCAGAGGGCAAGCGAGACGGGAGTTTGCTCTCCTACCTCCAACTGAGTAAGTACCTCGTTGTAGC